GACATGGTCCTCCTGCTGGTTCTGGTCCTTCTATCACTGCGGTTCCGAATCCAGGAGAGTTTGGGTCAGCACAAGTTCTTCATGGTCCGTCCGGTACCGAGTGACTCTCTCCCCGTGGAGGGTCCGAAGGAGGACCAGGACCCGATGCTGGACCCGCATGAGAAGAACCTGAACGAGACCGAACTCCGGATCCTGCTTGGGGTCCACTTTAACCCGGACTTCATGTCTGTGACCCACCCAGAGGACCAGGACGAGCCGGAGCTGGGTCCGAACCCCTCTGGACCCATGCCCAAGGAGATCCGAGCCCTGGAGCTGGAGGTCCAGTTCGGCCTGAAGCAGAAACCGAACCGGAAGCTGCGGAGGCGGCTGCAGCACTGGATCTGGACCCACACGCTGTCCGGTTCTGTACGCCTGGACCGACCTGGGCCTCCGGTTCTGGCCCAGGTACCAGAGGACGGGGAGCTGCCAGAGCAAGAGGTCCTGTTCGGTCCCGGAGGGGATGGTCTGCAGGCCGAACCGGGCCACCCACCTGACCCTGCTCAGGTGGTTCTGTCCGCACAGGAAGGTTCTGATGAAGTGCGGCTGGATCCAGGTCCAGTACCCGGTCATCTCCGAGTGCAAGTGTTCCTGTCCAACCTGAGGACCGGAACCAGAACCGGTCCAGTTCTTGTTTACACAGAAAAATACATTTTTTTTTTGTAAAAATAATCAAATAAAAGCTGAAATTCTTTTTAGTGAAAAGTTCTGTTTGGTTCTGTCCGAACTTTAAATATTAATATTTATTTTTATGTAAAATAAATGTAATAAATATTAAAATAAATTCATGTTTTTGACTCCTTTTATTTTATTTTTTGATGTTTCTGTATTATTCTGTATTATTTCTTCAAACAGAACCAGGTCCAGATCAGTTTAGTTCTGTCCGAACCGAGCCACCTGCTGGTGGAAACAGGAACAACACTTTAAAACTTTTATTTCCTTCAAACATGAATTCAAAATAATAAAAAACATTTGTTTTTTACAAATATAAATAAAACACAAACTCCAGAACACTCAGCCGGGTCCAAACGGGTCCGATGAGTTCAGCAAGACCCTCTCTGTGCTGGGGGTTCTGTCGATACAAGAACAAGACTGAGAAAAACCACACGTGATCCAAACGAACGGTTCTGAAGAGTTGAGATAAAATCAGGAGAGGAAGACCGCTCCAAGAGTCCAAAAGAACCTGAGGTACCGGAGAGGTTTAAACAGCTCGTTATCCAACAAACCCAAACTCCAAAAGGTTCTAATCAGACCGGTCCGATAGAACCGCTCCTCACGTATTAAATATTGATCCAGAATCGTTTTGGTTCTGTGTGATCCAGAAACTGATGGATGGAGGTCCAGTGTTGGTTCTGAGACACGGAACACGTCTGTTAAGTGTTCATTAGAACATTTAGAATTTAGGAACCACTTTACAATAAGGCTCCCCTTATAAATAGTTTATAGATGGGTTATTAATTCATCTATAAACACTTTATAAATCATTAATTAAGAACGGGAAAGAGACAACTGTCTGGTTTCTTTCCAAACACAGACAAATCTGTTCGTGTACATATTACTAGGTTTGTAAGCACAACTATATACTGGAAACACATATTTAAAAAAATATTGTACCGTACTACTGAATTATACATATAATAACTGTCAAAGGGAGCCTTATTGTAACATGTAAAACAGTATAATAAGGCTCTGTTATGACATTATTAGTCATTAATAAATAGTGTACTGTTTTACACTTTACAATAAGGCTCCCTTTGATTACTGTGGATATGTATAATGTGGTAATACAGTACAATATATGTAAAATATGTGTTTTCCATAAATAATTGTGCTTACAAGGTAGTAAACTAGTCTGAAATGTTCAACAAAGCACCTTTACATGAAATATATACATGATATTTGACAAGAAACCGGATACTTTTGTCTTTCCTGTCCTTAATTAATGCATAATAAACACTTATTAACGATTTATAAAGTGTCTACAGATGAATTAATGACCCATCTATAAACTATAAGCCATATATAAGGAGAGCCTTACTGTAAAGTCGTACTAAAATTTTAAATTATTTCAGTTTGAGGAAGAAGACAAAGCTCTGCCTCTATTTTGCTTAGGCCCAAAAAGGGGCGGAGCCACTGAAAGAGACACTAGCTGCGTTTCCATTGCAAATATGCGCAAAACTTTGTTGATATTCTGTTAATGTCAAAAAACACAGTTTGGCAACTGCGGTGTTTCCGTTAAGTAAGAAATGTTATTAAAGTCACACATAAATATGTTTGTTCTCGTGATAAGTCCTTACAAACATGGCAGCGATGGATGTAAACACATAGCATGTTGCTACCACGACACTAGCGCTCATCATCAGAGGAGACGTCGGCGTCTTTTATCGAGGCTTTCCAGAGACAAGTCTCTACTTGGGAGCGGCTACGTATGCTGTGTTTTTGGGAAAYTGTAGTCGGAGAGTTTACTATTTTATACTACTTCTGTGATATTACTACTAYTTCTACTTCCTGTTATCTTCTACGTCATCGTCTTTTTCACCAGTAGAAACAGCCGGTTGTTGATCACGTGACTCCTGTGATGTGAAAAAAGTGTTTCCATTGCAGTTTTGTGAAAAACACCAATTTCGATACGGCTGAAATACCACCTCATCCTAGCACAAAAACATTTTGTCGAAAAACAATTTTTTTCGAAATTGACGTGCTTCCATTGAGCAAATTTATTTTTGAAATTCCAATTTGCGTATTTTCATGGTCGATGGAAACGCAGCTACTGACACAATGTTTTCTGTTCTCTAAAATGTTCAATAGAAGGTTCTGATGTGTATTTATGATTATCAGGACTTACTGTTAAAATGATCCAATCAGAAAACATCTACTCTGGCTCCGCCTCCAACAGGTCTGATCATGTTTGTTCCTCTGAAACAAACTCTGATTTGTTGATGAATCCGACCTTTGACCCCGAGTGTGTCGGTTCTGTTGCTGTGGTGTGTTCTTCACGGGCGAGTCTATTGGTGCTGCAGGAACCGGGACCGGCTCCAGATGCTCCAGTCCTGGTTCCTGCACAGCCGCAGGAAGTCCTGTCAGTCTGGTTTCCTGAGTGGGCTCAGGAGGTCTGGTTGGTCCGGGTTCAGTGGTTCCGCGAGCTGAAGAAGCCCACGCTGGTGGGAGACTCCTTCACGGTCACCGTGATGAAGTTGGCCGTGACGTCGGTGACGAAGACGTGCTCCAGGAGGCTCCGGGCCGGCCTCCAGTCCGTCTCCGTGTCCGAGTCGGCGGCGCTGGTGCCGAGGCTGGGCCTGCCGCTGTCGTGGAACACGGCGGCGGCGGTGGCGCTGGCGTGTTCCGACTCGCTGCTGCTGGTCTCATCAGAGTCTCCGGTGCTGAGCTCATTCAGGCTGCGGCTCTGAGAGCTCGGTCCACGTTTGCCCACCTCCCTGCGTCGCCCGGGTTCTGCCGCGCCCCCGACCATCAGAGCGGACCGCTGCCCTCCAGCTGATCCTTTCCCGGGGCCGGAGCCCCGCAGGCCTGGGTTGGCCCCCGGGCCGCCGCTGACGCTCTGCAGGTTGAGGGCCCGGAGGCTCAGCGCCTGGCTGGCCCGGTCTCTGGGAGTTGGGGAGGACGTGGAGGACGGTTTGGAGTAGTTCTGCTGACCTCCCGCTCCATCCTGCCTCCTCTGACCCAGCGGGGGGCGCTGCGGCGCCGCCGGGAAGCCGAGCTGGGCCGAGGCGCTGCCCGGTTTCAGAGCAGACCCTCTAAAGTTGCTTCCTGTCTCTGAGACGGAGCGCCTCAGCTCTGAGCTCTTCTGGGACGGACCGGTCCTGCCGTGGGAGGACGAGGACAAGGAGCGGCCGGTCCAGACGCAGCTCAGAGCGCCGGGTTTGGAGGCGGAACTCTGAGCGAAGGAGCTCTGAGGGGAGGAGGGGCCCTCGTCCCTGGAGGTCCGGGTCAGCCCGGTGTAGGTGAAACTGGCCGGCTGTAGCGGCTTCTTCACGCCGGACCGTGGCTCCTCCCGGAGCGACCTGATTGGCTGATGGTGGCGAGGAAGAGGAGGGCGGGCGGCCTTCAGGTCCGGGTGCAGCGGCTTCCTCCCTCGCTTCTTCTTCCGAGGCGGGTCGGGTTTGGCCAGCAGGATCTGCGGCCTCTTCTGGGGGACCGGGTGAAGACGGGGACTGAGCTTGGCCTTCTTCACGTGTACCTCATCATCATCGTCATCCTCCTCTTCCTCCTCCTCCTCCTCCTCTGAGGAAGAGGAGGGTGACGAGGAGAGGCCGGAGGAGGAAGATGAGCGGCTGGCTGCAGCAGGCGGAGGCTGAGGAGAGAGACGAAGAGCGATGAGATGAGAGGAACAGAACCGACGGGTCCAGTCTGCGCGGTTCTGCTTTTACCAGAATCTTTCTGGGTCGTCCTCTGGGTCGCTTTCCTTTCTTCTGGAACAGCAGCTCCCGGTCCTGTTCCCTGAAAACACAGAAACAAATCACGACTCAGCAGATTTTTTCTGTAAATAAACTAATAACTTTGTTTGTTGTTATTTATTCCGTCAGACTCACATCTTGTGAAACATGGCCAGCAGCCTCGGGTCCAGAATGTTCTCTTCGGGCTCCCAACTGTTGTGCCTGAATATAAAACAAAATACATTTAATAAATGGTTATAAAATAAAGCAAATTTCAAAGTTATGATGGTAATAAAACAAAACTGACTCAGGAACAAAAAATATTTACATAAAAAGAAAACAAAAATCATCTGTTCTATTTAATTTTTAAAATAATTTTATTCTCTTTAAAACAATATGCAGGTGCAAACATTTCTAACTTCCGGTTGATAATGTTTCAGAATCTCTGACGTCATTATTTTAACACAAATATTAACCCAATTGAAGAATGAATTCTGATTAAATTCATGTTTTTAGCGTTCAGTGGCCTGACATCGTCACAACAGTTCTGTCCCGGTTCTGGTTCGGTTAGACGGACTCCACCGGTACCGTCAGCACCGGTCCAGCGCAGGCCCGTCAGCCCGATTCGGGTGTTCCGCTCCCGGCAGCGGGGTAAACACCGGGCCGCCGCGGGCTTTGTTCGGTTAGCCTCGGAGGCTAACAGCTAGCAGCTACTCACTTGGAGGACCAGCCGCTCCATTTCACCAGATACTCGAACTTTCCCTGCGGGGACACACAGAATCAGAACCGGAGAACCGAGCCGGGGCCCCTACCGAACCGCGGGCAGTGGCTGCTTACCTTCCTCTGCCGTTTGCTGAGGATGCACTCTGCATCGAACACCTGACCCACCGTCACCCCCTCCATTACTGCTGCAGGTAGGTTTGAGCCCTGCCGGCCACCGTAGTCCTCTGTTACCGAGCAGAGACCTGGAGACAGAAACTCAACATTATTTTATGTAAAATCTGCTAGTATTTAAACAAAACCTCATGTAAGAAAATATGACAACATGTTTATTTTAATGTTTAATATTTATTTTAGCTTTATCAAATAAAATATATAATTTTTAGGTCAATTTAGGTCATTTTTTCAACTCAATATTTTTAAATGTTTTGTAATTTTCAGACGTTTGATCTCGAGGAGTTTTGTTTTTGATGTTTTCATTTTTACCAGAAATTTTCCAGGAAAATTAAAGCTTATAGCAAAGGCAAACATTAATAATAATAAAAACAATACAATGTTAGACGCTAATTAATGTACATCTTGATATAATATATTTTAATGAAATACAATTTTTTTATAGAACGTGAAATGTATTTAGAATTATTTTTTTTTACTAAATAAATGCTGAAGATTTGCCTTTTCTTCGCCTGTTGGAGGCAGCAGAGAGCTGAGTTCTCTTTAAACCGCCTCAAATGTAAACAGAAGAAAAGCCGAGCGGAACTTTTCTTTCAGGATATTTTGTGTTGAAGGACCGAATAGAGCGCTGCACCGCTGAATGTTTGTTAACAGTTTGTTTAGAGGAGCTCCTCTTCAGAGGTAAAAATGTTTTCCATTGGTTTTGTCTCTCACACCTGAACTGCGTTCATGTTTAGCTTAAATTCGGTGTTTTTTACCTAGAGTTTGGTGCGCATGTGGGATCAGAGCGCATAAACACCGCAGACTCCTAACACTGACCTGCTGAGGTCATATGTGTTAAATGTTCGGTTCGTTTACTTCAATTAAACAGCTGGTTTAGTGTAACTTTAATCTAAATTATCTTGGTTTACGTTAGTTTGTCCTGAAAACTCCAGCAGCTTTATCGAATAAAGAACTCATGTAGAAAAACGTGATAAAATTAGGCTTTACTGTTTTATACTGTCAAACACACACATGTAAACAAAACTAAATACATCATAAGGTTTGTTGATGTTTTTTGTAAATTCGGCTTATAATATTACTGTACAAAATCCTTATTTTTATATATTTAGAGTTTTATTTAAGTGCAAATCTAAATTTTCCAAACTCACCTGCAGATTATTCTCCCTCCCCTCCCTCCTGAGGGTCGTCGGGGTCTTTGTTACCTGGCTGACAGAGCCATGTTTTCTCTTGACCTCTGCACTGTAAACTCATCATGATGTTCTGACAGATGGCTGATTTATTTTCTGCAGGTGAGTCTCAGGTGTGATGTTGCTGCTGCGTCCGTCTCTCTGCTGCCCTTTGACCTCGCCGCTGCTGACTGGATGTGCGCGGACGCTTCGCCGTGCCTCTCCTCGGGCTGAGCTCTTCCTGCGGCGGCGGCCTCCCTCGCGCCTCCTCGCTCGGAGCGGCAGCAGGTGGTCGAGGGGACAGGAGGCGGAGTGGAGGACCAAGAACAAGACGGTGCTGATGTACGTCGCTGCCGCCGGTGTGGGAATGATCGGCCTGACGTACGCCTCCGTGCCTCTCTACCGCCTCTACTGCCAGGTGAGTCTGACACGCAGAAACACGCATACCTGCCCGCCATGGGCTCTCTGACCGCTCTGCTTGTCTGCCAGGCAACGGGGCTGGGCGGCGCGGCGGTGGCCGGTCATGACACCGATCAGGTGGAGACGATGACGCCGATAAAGGAACGCATCATAAAGGTGACCTTCAACGCCGACACGCACGCCACCCTCCAGTGGAACTTCAGGCCACAGCAGACAGAGATCTATGTAAGATCTACTTCCTGCTTCTTCACTTCCTGCTTCTTCACTTCCTGTCAAAGAATCATCCTGAACATCGCTGAGTAACAACTTTCTGCTTTCAGTTGGTTCCAGGTGAGACGGCGCTGGCCTTCTACAGAGCCAAGAACCCCACAGAGAAACCCATCATCGGTATCTCCACCTACAACGTGGTGCCCTTCGAAGCGGGCCAGTACTTCAACAAGATCCAGGTGAGGTTCAGGTGATTCAACAAGATCCAGGTGAGGTTCAGGTGATTCAACAAGATCCAGGTGAGGTTCAGGTACAGGATGTTACCTGTGGAAGCTGCAGCAGGTGTGATGGAAACACGATGTTTAGATCAGACTGCAGAAATATAACTTTAAAATAATCAGGAAGTAGAAACTCAAACAGGAAGTAGAAACTCAAACAGGAAGCAGAAACTCAAACAGGAAGCAGAAACTCAAACAGGAAGCAGAAACTCAAACAGGAAGCAGAAACTCAAACAGGAAGTAGATTTCTGATCTAGATCCAGCCCTACCCTTGAAGCTTCTCCCCTCCATCAGATGAAACCAGAACCTTTCTCTCTCTGCAGTGTTTCTGCTTCGAGGAGCAGCGTCTGAACCCCCACGAGGAGGTGGACATGCCCGTCTTCTTCTACATCGACCCAGAGTTCGACAAGGACCCCAGGATGGCTTGGGTCGACACCATCATTCTGTCCTACACCTTCTTTGAGGCCAAAGAGGGTCAGAACCTTCCTCTGCCCAGGTACAACTGACCCGGGTCCGGCCCAGAGGCTTAGAGAACTGGAGGAGACGGCTGAGCCCATGATCTGGGACCCTCCTCAGACCTGAACCTGCTCCGGTCAGGACAGTCGTCTGCATGAAGTTTTCAGCTCCGTGTTCCTGTCGGACTTTTATTTCAGAACCTAAAATAAAAAGTGTCTGAAGTCGAAGCTCAGAGCTTCACAGAAGAATCCTGAAAAATCTAATCTGAAACTGTTTTAATGCAACAATCAGTTCGATGTAAAAGTATAATTTATGTGAATTTTCTCTGAACAGGAAGTTTCCGCACAGATTCTGAAATGTTTGGGTTTTAGGCGTCCGTCGTGCTGCCTGATGCCTGAGATGAGTAAAAACTGGTTCTAATGAGTCATGAAGCTTTCATCTGAAGATGCCTGAGAGAAAATATGTGATGTTAAAAATAAATATTTCATATTTATTTTTATTAATATTTAACTGAGTCAACGTGTTTCTGCAGATCATTTATTTTCTTATTAAAAACAGATTTAAGGTAAATCAACATGTTTGCTTCAATAATTTTACCCAAATATCCAAAATAATCGGTTTCATATAAAATATGAGAAAGTTTAGAATTATTTTTATTATTCTCTGGATCTAAAAGGTTTTGGATTATTTTACTGAATTTAACCTGCAGGCAGAAAAACAGAAAGGTTCAAATTTATCTGTTTTAAACTCTGTGAGTTTTTATGATGTTTTTTATATTTTTGGTAAAACTTTAAGTCCTGACTGTTTCTCTGCTTTAATTTCTCCCAAAATCAAAAAAGTTAAATTTACCCAAATTTTAAAAACTTTAAACGCAATGAAGAGCTTTACTAGTAAAATAAGACATTTTCAGAGACATTTTGTTTGTTGTTGATGTGAAATAAATAAAAAAAATTAACACTTTATTGTGTCAGTACAAAGTTTGACTAAATGATAAAATATTTACCTAATTTTTCTATTTAGCTTTGGTGTTGAATCACATTTCAGTTCAGAAAATCTGAATATGAGAGGTTTTAGTTTATTGTCTTGTGAGTTTTATTGATTAATCTAATTAAGTTTGTTAGATTTTTAAACAGCCGAATTTCCAACAAAGCTGCTCTCATTCACAATATTTGTGTTTCTGATGTAAAACTAGAATCTACTCTGAAATTTAAAGTTAAAACTTTCTCGTTAAGCTCGCAGTTTAACCTGGACTCACTAACAGAGGTAAATGAAGCGGCTGCGCTGTTCTGATAACATCTGGATTTAACAAATAAATGAAACAATCTAAATCTACTGGTATATAACCTGATAAAAAAGACACCTTTGTGGTGATTTCGGCTTTATTTACATGTGTGAATATTTCTCTAAGACAACATTAGAGGCGACAAAAGTGTAAAATCGGTTTCGGACAGGAAGTCACGGAGGAAGTTTCAGTGAAAAATCATCAAACTTCCTGTTTATAATTTTTTTTAAATGATAACAGAGGAAATTTATTAATATTTAACTATGAGGGGGAAAAAATCGATGAGTTTTGAAGCTGCTGTAAAAAAATAAAAAGATGAAAATAAAAGAGGCAGCAGAGGAGCTTCCGGTCCGGCAGGGGGCGCTGCTCAGAGCTGAAGTGGGTTCTTTTCAGCTGTCAGGAGCAGCTGGACCTCCAGTTCTCTGGTTCTGGACTCTCAGGGTGGATTTAACGAACCAGTCCGGAAACAAACCGGTACCAGACAGCCTGAGCTGTCCCGAACCGCAAGAGCCGGGGAAAGTTCTGAAGCAGGTTGGGTCAGAAACAGAATTTTCTCTTGTTTGTTTTGATCATCATGGAGCAGCAGCAGGCACCTGTTCAGGTGATGTCCGGGAGAAAACCTGAGACGGTTCGGTCCAGGTCCAGGTTTAGGTCCAGACAGAACTCAAATCAAAAGTTAATAAAATTATTTTAAAAGAAGTAATTCAGAAAAAGTTCGTTTAAAGTCATTTTAATTTATTATTAGGTTCTGGTTCTGGGTGGGATGGCTCTGTTTGTATATTTGTGACCCAGCTGGGTTCTGTTTCTGCAGCGGGATGAACCTTCATCACTGCTGGATGATCCAGCTCCTCCTCCTCCTCACCTCCACCTCGGCTCACAGCGACCTCTTCACCTCTGTGGGTGAGTCCAGTCTGCCGGTTCTGTTCTGGCCAGTGGCGCCTGCAGTGGGGGGCGGGCCACTGAGGGGCACTGAACAACCAATATCTATAACTGAACTTTTATTATGTGGTTGTAAAAATGTCAAATTAAAAACAAAGGTAATATAAAGCCATGGATTTTCCAACACATGTTCAGTTTGTAATTTTACAGATAATAATACTGATTTTGTGACATTCAACGACAAAAAAAAAAAAAAAAACTATCTGCACTTCTGCAACAATCCAGTTCTACTGTGTTCTGTATCTGTACACATGGAGTACCATAAGTTGTCTGTACATTCTTACATATTTCAGTGGCATCAAAATGTAATTGTGGGGGGTCTGGGGGTCCTCCCCCACATAATTTTGAAAGGAGTAGACACCATTTCCTGCATTCTGGTGTATTTTTAACAGGTTGTTAAACAGACTTTTACCTACTTAGGAAAACAGTTGATGTGAGTATTCTGTAGGTAAAGTGGGATAAATTTATTTAAGCAACAGAAACAGAGTGAAGTAATGTTTTATGGTAAATGTGCAGGTTCAAATTAATTAAATTTTATGGAAACACTTCCCTTCACAAATGATTGCTGTGATGTCTGTCGTGTGATTTAAATATGTCAAAATATATATTTTAAAGAAATTTACAAGGAACAAGCTTTCTAAATTTTAAAGCCACTTCTTCTGTGTATGATAAAAGTTTTATTTGCTTGTTGATGTTTACTTTTGTGAAGAAAAACTGTAATTATTAAAACCCCAAACTGGAAATAAAGATTAAAACAAACACAATTTAAAAACTAAATCTGCTGTAGTGTTATCCCAAAATTATTTGCTTTTTTAAATTTCATATTAGTTTTAATAAATATGATTTTTGTCTGTAAGAGAAAACTGGAGGACCTGGAGAAAACCCACTCCTGCACAGGGAGAACATGGAAACACAGAACAGAAAGTTGATCAACCTTCCTCTTTAGAGGCAACATGTTGCTCTAACTGTGTCGCCTAATTTTATATTTATTACATAATTATTTAAATGATTTAATTAATATTTGATTTAAAAATATATCTATGAATATAACCTCCCGAGGACCTCCATCTTTATTTGAGAACGTTGGTTACGTATTGTAACCCCAGATTCTATGAGTGTAAGCGCAGCCCTCTAAGGCTATCGCAGATGGGTACCCCCGCGCGCGCGCTCGCGCATTCTGAAGA